AAAACAGTGCCCCCCCCCCCCCCTTCCTGAGGACTGGAGGGATCCTCATACACTACAAGGAGGAGGCAGGTAAGTACTGAGGACTGGAGGGGATCCTCATACACTACAAGGAGGAGGCAGGTAAGTACTGAGGACTGGAGGGGGATCCTCATACACTACAAGGAGGAGACAGGTAAGTACTGAGGACTGGAGGGGGATCCTCCTACACTACAAGGAGGAGGCAGGTAAGTACTGAGGACTGGAGGGGGATCCTCATACACTACAAGGAGGAGGCAGGTAAGTACTAAGGCCTGGGGGGGGAGATCCTCATACAGGTAGGTACTGCGGGTTGGGCAGATAGGTATCTGGTATGTGTTCTATCTCCGGTTTCGTGCCGTGTCTGTCACTGTCAGCATTACACGCCCTGCACAGATGACGGGTGTTGTTCTCTCCGATGGGTCATGTGACATTTGAGGGAAAGTTTCCGTTGAATCTTCTGTGACACATTCCGGTGAATCTCGGAGTTACATTTGGAGGAAACATCCACTCAGAGGGACAGGAAGGGCTCCCATGCTGAGCTCACTCTGGGAATGCTGGTCGCCTGGCTGTCTGCGGATTGTCGTCATGGAACTTCCAGTCAGAAAGTACAGAAACTATAAGATGAGCATAACAGCCAGGCGACGTGTGTGTTCGGGATGAGAGGTCAGCGATGGCGGCGCCCCTCCCCAGTATAAGATTATTGTGCTATCAGAACTGATGATGTGATGTAATAAAGATGTGGCGTCATGTGATTTGGCTGAAAGGGGCGGAGCCTGAACGTTGGTGGTACGAAGTTGTAGTATCATATTTGTAAAGGGGGAGGAAATGGAAAAGGTGACACTGCGGACATACAAGACCATGTGACCTGTGACATTCCCGTAGAGAATCCTTATCATGTTTATCCTTGTCTTCCAGTGCAGGATCGAGTCCTCCAGAAGGAGCTCCATGTGCTGAAACTGCCAAACAGTGAAGAATTACATCTGACGATCACACTGCCAAATGCCGGGGGTCCAGACACGGCGGGGGACACCCCAAAATCTGCCACAGTAAGTCCATTCCCCGGGGACGGGCTCCATATTGGGATCGGAGATCACCATGAATCACATTTTCTATGAAGGGATCCGGAGACACGGAACATTCCCGATTCCAGCAATGATCCCATGTGTGTCCGCGGACGCCTTCGCCTGC